GAAAACCCAATCATTAATTATGGTTAATTTAATGTTTATGAAAATGATAATTTAACTTTCTTTGGGTGCGTTTGGTGTAGTTTTTGCTTCATTTTTTTGATGTTATTTATATTTCATAAATTTAAATTTATTTTTTTAAATTTACATTTTTAAATATTTTTTTAATTTCAAAAAGTTCTTAAATAGTAAAAATTCAAAAGTTTGAAATTTAAACTTTTCATAAATTTTTTTTTTACTTACTTTTCACTCACTTTTTCATCTTTTTAAAAGTTAAAACTGTATTTTTCTTCTAATAAAAATTTATATTTATCATTTATAATAATACTCAAAAAACAAAAACTCTCACAACTGACACCAAACATACTCTTAGACCATCTTAGATGAAAATATGACAAACTGTTTCCTGAAAATACGATCGACAGAAAGGACAGAAGTTTAAAGGTTCTCAAAAGTACAAAGCCAAAACCAACACGCATGAAACACTTAAAACACTGAGAAAATCCTTCTCCCAAAAAAAAAAAAAAAACATTGAGAAAATCAACACTGGCATATGCTGCCACATATAAAGTATGGTAACATAATATTTGTACAGCAAGAACAGGAAGGCTGAAGATGACAACTCTGCATGTTACATGTTCAAGCTAGTTATCCTTGCCGCTGGATTCTTTCCAGAACTTAGCAGGCAGCCCTTGCTCAGGTACTGGGAATGGTGCATAATGAACTCCATTTTTGGACCCTACTAATTCCCACCTGCAACAAAAAATATTCATTGAATCAAATTAACATTTGAAGGCTTTTCCTCTACCCCCGGTGTGCTAATGATTTTCCATAATAGTATTAAGATTTTTAGACGAAACGTGCAACATGAATTGATTAATTAATTACCTAAAGTTGTTGACCAAATGGTGGACCAAAACAAATATTTCAAGCTTGGCAACTTCATTTCCAGGACATGAATGAACTCCATTTCCAAAGGGCAGAAAAGTATTAGGCTTTGGTCCAACCTTCACGTTATAAATCAAAGTTCAATTTAAGCTTATAATATATAGCATTAGGTGAACAAATCGAAACCTCCTTATTAAGATACACTTAATTACCTCAAATCTTGAAGGATTAAACACAAGTGGATCCAAAAAGAACTCGGGATTGTGATGAAGGATTCGGAACAAAGGAAGCACCTTCCATCCTTTGGGAATAAAGTACCCTGTAAAATATCACAAAAATATGTTTTCATGCTTATCTATAATATCTCCATCATGTTCATTGCAAAATGTTAATTTGTATCTTTATTTGTTTTTTTAATCGGCAAAGATGAAATTTTATCAAACAGGGTACAAACTACAAACTATATCTCAATTAATGCATATACAAAACTAAAACTCAAGGCATATATGCGAACAGATGACTCAAACCAAACAATGACAATACCCAAGCTGCCCCTTAACATGTTCTAGCAACTTCCTTTGCATAAGTATGGGCAGTGGCACCAACTAGCCTAATCAAAAGTTAATTTGTACCTTTATATTCAACATCCTCAACTGCTTCCCTAAAGGTGAAGGATATGATGCTTGCCATTCTCAAGCTCTCCATTATAACCTTCAAAATGCAACAAAATATATACCAATCAACCTTCATTAAACACGGATCTATGTATATATTTTGTGTATATATTTTATAATAAGTCTAATTTTACTTCGTATATAAAATTCATACCTTATTTGTTAGTGGCATATTTCTAGTTTGAGCCCAAGCTAGTGGCCTTTTCCCTCCATCATTTGCTTCATAAATCGCCTTTTGCTCTGCCTGAAATATCAAAGTTCCATCAATAAACTCAAGTTAGTGTTCGACAATGGAGAGAATTTAATTACACAAGTTAATTTCTTGTATGTACCTTAATATCTTGAAAAAGCTGTGGGTCATCATGAATATATTTGAGAATCCATGATAAGATACTAGCAGTGGTATCCTGAGCAGCAAACAAAACCCCGATGATGTTATCCGAAATCTGACTTTCTTTCAAAGGCTGGTCTTTTTCATCCCTGGAGCTCAATAGGGTACCTAAAAGATCTTTCTGAACTAATTTCTTCTCCTTTCTCCCCTCAATTATTTCGTGAAGAATCTGGCCTAACCTTCGCCTTGCCTTTTTTAAGTTAAAGAATTAGGAATTCATTAATTTCGAAAGAGACTTAAAAATTATCAAAGGAGACTGATTTATGCCAGGATTGACTGACCTTGACTGATTTAGAGTATAGTGTTCCAGGAAGGTTTACGGGGAAAGAATTGTAACCTTTGTCTAGGATGAAGTAGTTCTCCTTCAGCATTTCTTTGTATTTATTTTCCAAGTGACCAAAGATAGACAAAACAGCCACATCAAAAGTTATCTGTTCATATCAACATATAAATTAGGTCATGGAATCACTGCCAAAGCGACAAAAAAAGAAAACTATACCAATTGTATAACACCAACCTTTTTCATCTCATGGAAAGTATGAACTATATGGCCACCGGAGATGGACTCAAGGGCTGAGATGACCACCGTTTCAATGCTGGGGACGAGGTTTCTGATGACATCAAGGGAAAGGGAGGACTGAACCAGTTTTCTCATGTGGGAATGGTAATCTCCCTGGTGAAAAAACAGTGCCTGTGGACCGATCATTTTTTCCTTGCTGGGAGGGTATGTTGGCTTGAACAAATTTGCGTGTGTGACCAACACAAATTTAATGGCTTCAGGGCTGGTTAACATCACAGAGGGACATCCAAGAATATGTGTCTTGAATATCTCGCCATACCTAAAGATCAATAGAATAGCACCGTTTTGACCCCTTAATCTCAAAAAATAATAAAAACGAGGCTACAAAGAAAGAAAATAAGAAGAGATAGAAGAAATCGACCTTTTTGCTCGAGTGGCAAAGAATACGTCAGGATTCTGAGAGTACGAAAGCAAAGTTTCTCCGATATATGGCCAACCTAAAGAACCTGGGGGGAGGTTTGCTCCCTTTGCTGCCTCTTTCCTTTGGTTTCTGTAAAGAACAAATATTGAGAGCAAAGCACAGAAGAAATAGAAGAGAACAAGATCCATCTCTCCTTTCTCTGTCACTCTTACCAATGGAATTCTAGTGAAGTTGTGTTCTTATATATATAAAAGGTATGTTCAGCATTTGTTCATTCCTCACCATACATACCATATATGGTAGAAAACCATTCAATTCAGAGAGAAAGATATTTCCATTCTTTAATTTTACTGATTTGGCTTGCCGAGGATTACAACCGTGTAATTTGGGATTTAGATGCCAAATTTAAGATATTTTTTTTAATAATATGGGTATTGGAACTTTGGTCCATATAATTTCACAATAACTGCAAACATTCACATCTTCACCCAAATGCCAAATTGAAGATATGTGAAGTGGTGTGACATGAGAAAATCAGGTTCTTTGTTTTCATTGGAAGGAGGAAAAAATGTGGGGCCACCAGGTGTCTCTTCCTTGGGTTTCCATGTCCTAGGCTCTTGGTAGGGTGGGCGCTGGGCAGGGTACATTGCCGCCCTACTTTTTCATTTCTGGTGGGCTTTCAGCCATAGCCTTCGATTGCTGATGTCGTGTCGGTATACGGCTTGGCACACGATACCCCCATCAAAACCTCCGATTTCAACTGCCGATGTCGTGCCGTGTATGCATTTTGGCACAAGATACCTATCAAAATTTCCGACCATACATTTGGTTCGCCATTACCTTACTAGTGCTTACGGACAAAAAACACTAAAATAAAAATTTAAGAAACCAAGCATGAATCCCATGTCCATGCTGCTACTGCCCAACCTAAACCTCTCTCCTGTTAATTCTTTAGAACTTTTGCCATTTAGGGAAGAAATCAAAATCATAAATGAAAAGTAGACTTGTCTTGTTGCATAGAAACATACAGAGATGGATACACTTTCACAACAAATTTATCCCTGGTCAAATTTTGAAATTGGTTAGAATTAATTAATTAGGAATGTGTATCGAGCACCTAAGTCATGGATTTATGTTGTGATTCCGTTACAACAAGATTAGATGTGAGTAGTCAAGTATGTAAGTTTTACTTTACATTATGGTTTTCACTCGCATAATATGTAATGCGAGCACACTTGCTGTGTTAGAGCATGGTATAAGTTCACCCGGATTGATCTCAGCCTTTGCCAGTTTAAGTCACTGTTGTGGCATATTCACTTCGCTAGACATTCAATACATTTTTAACGTGGCAAATGTATGTATGTGACATGTGACGTATGTCCACGTGCCTAACATAATAGAACAAATAAAACAACAACTTAGGTACGACAAATCATGTGGAACCAAAAGAAGGACACAAGAGATTGCAGCAATGAGTTTGAGACAGATCACCATGTAATGGACCATGGAAAGAGGTTACACGCTGGTAGAAGTAAAGATGGATACCTACCTCCTAAAAGGCAAGTAAATGGTTGTCAAGCCGGTGGTTGATTACAATCTGTTTTGTCCCTCATATTTATGGGATCTTTAATTGTGAAAGCCTTTATGTATTTGTAGTGTAATGGGTTTGGAGTACCCTGTACTCCATTAATACAATAAATTTTATTTGCTGATAAAAAAAAAAAAAATGTGGAACTGCAGTTTTGCTATTCCTCGAGCTACTGTTCAAAAGCAGAAAATTTTTCTGTGAAGTCATGGGGTGTACTGGACATATTCTTTAATTTAGTTAATTTGCTGATTTTGAAGTTTGAATGCCTTTTGACCGGTCAACTTCATCGATTGGAACTGCAGTTCTGCTATATTCTGAGCCACTGTTTTGCTATTCTGGTACTGCATTTCAAAACAGCATGTTTTTCTATGAAATCATGTGGTGTACTGTACTTGTTCTTTAGCTACTTTGCTAATTTTGAAATTTGAATGCATTTTGACTGGCCAACTTCATTAATTTTTGTTTTTAACAGCTTACAATTTAAGAGATTGAGAGAGAGAAATTTTTTAAGGTGTTTATGAGATTTAAAATTTTGATGAATTAATTCAAATATTTTAGAATTTAAAAACAAACCACTTAGATTCGAAAATCTGATTTGTCCAACTTCATTAATTTGCTATGGCATATTGGCATTCGTCTAATTCAAGGTTCATGATCCTCGCCCTCATTTGTTTAAGAACTTAAATGGAAATATCTGACAAATCATATCACCCTTTTGCTATAGAGGTCAGAACCAGGACACAGGATGTATGGTGGTCTAGTTACTATCAAAGGTACACTTTCTCGAAAGAGTTATCTTTAAGGATTGATTGAATAATTAAAAAAAATATTTGTTATATTGGTATTATTAGTTAATTAATTTTTAAATAAAAAAATAAAACTAGTATATTTAAATAAAAAATAAAAAATTTATTGTTTTATTTACACATTAATAAAACTCATATTATTAAATAAAAAATAAAAAATAAATTTGTTATCCTTATCTACATCTTTTCTTAATTAAAAGCAAGTCATTAATATCAAAATTTAAAAATATCTGAGGAGATCAACTCACTATTTTTCCTTTTTCGGTTGCTCATTCAATTCATTCTAAGCACCCCACCCTTGGAAGGAAAACTAGCAATTAACTCAGCCATCTTTTCCCTCCATAATTTATCCTATTTTACTAGACTAGATGAAACTTTCTCTTTCTTCCTTTTTTTTTTTTTTTCCTAATCTCTAGACATAAAGAGAAAATTGGAAGAGAATTGCATGCTAGTGAGGATATATAGGGTGCAATAAGGACAGGGTAATGGGTAGAAGACGTATTGATTGAGGAAGGAATTAGTTCACAAATTATTAATTATAAATTTTTTTTTATGGAAAGGATAAAATTCACTCATAAAATGATAAAATCAACTACAACAAATTAAAGTAGGGGTACAATTTTTTTTTTTTTAAACAGTGGGAAACTTATGTTTTTTTTCGGGGAAAGGGAAGGGACCTGGGATTTGATCCCAGGTCTCATTAGTCCTACGCACGTCCGCAAAGGGGTGGCCAATATACCACCATGTGCGGGACAAAGTAGGGGGTACAATGAACCTCCTAATATGATTGCTTCTAATTAATTCCACCCAAATTTATCTATATATATAAGAAAATATTCTTAATTACAAGCAAAATATTAAAAAATATATAAATGAAAATGAATAATAATAAATGTAATTAAAATTTGTTATCAAAATATGAGACTAATGATGTATGTATTTAAAATATTAAAAATTGAATTATGTATTATTTAATGATTAATTTTTTTATTTTTTTTAAATTTATAATATTATATATATCAAATAATTTAATAACTTAATGTAAATTAAGTCATTGACTCTAAATTTTCGTCCTCCTACGTTACTCAATGAAAAAGAGTCCACTTTCTAACCAACCACGAAAACCTTTTATTCAAACAATTTCTATACAAAATAAAATCCCTGTCCTTATCACAATTTGCACAATTATCACCCAAAATCTCTTCATCATCTATCAGACTGGCTTCCTCAAGTAACTTATTCAATCCCGAGTTTTTTGGAAGAAAATTTAGGCTCAGATCCCCATCATTAGATGAGTATCTTGATCTCCACCGTCCACATCTCAAAAAAATTGGAACATATATGGGAAGTTGGGAACCATAGAATGCCGTCTTCCCTTTGTAAAGAACAAAGCCGCCACCAGTTGTGGCCCGCCATCTTCATATGACTATAACATCTTGAATCCCACGTTTAGTAAGAAATTGTGAGTGAGTTTAGTATATAAATATAAAGATTAATTATTATTAACAACTTAAATTTAAATTTTTAAGAATTTAAGAAACTTAAATCGAAAAGTTATTAAACTAATAATGAATTTTAATCCAAATTACTTCAGTTGGTATCAAAACACTTATCTTTCTAAGTGTGGACCCTGTATTATCTAAGGTGGATCTTATGCTTGGATTTTAATCCTTCCTCTTCCTCGAAGCAGTCCAAATAGACCTTTCAAACCACCTACAACGGCCATCCCCGAGCAAAGCACAAAATAGATGTGATGAGTTTCAGTTCAAATTATGTCAGTCCAAATTATTGTAATTGTTAAAGTAATAATAAGTTTCAATTCAAATTATTTCAGTTGATATCAAAACACTTATTTCTCGTAAGTGTGGAACTTGTATTATATAAAGTGGATCTTATGCTTGGATTTTAATCCTTCCTTTTCCTCGAAGCAGTCCAAATAGACCTTTGAAACCACCTATAACGACCATCCCCGAGCAAAGCACAAAATAGATGCGAAATCAATAGCACCACCACCAATTGAAGACAAAGAAAGCACAAGCATGGCCCCCACTGTGAAGGAATCATATACAAACAAGAAAAGCAACAAATAACAATAAAAGAAAACCCAACCACCAAACCATAGCGAAGGTGGAAAAGAAAAAAGTCTCACATACGGAGTGAAAATCAAAATTCCATTAAAACATAACAATAGTATATTCAATTTAAAAGAAATAAAGAAAAAAAGAGAACGAACTCCTTTTATTAATAAATTCATCACATAGAAAATATACTCTTTTTATTTTAAAATAATAGATATTTTGTTAATAATTTAAATAGTTCAGTGGTCATCTTCTTTCGCTGGAAGTAAGAAATCTTGAATTTGAGTAGCATAATATACGGGTGGAGTGAGATAATGGATGGAAGAAGGTTACCTCCCATTATGCAACTAAAATAAAAAAATAAATAAAAATAAAAATAATAGATATCTTTTTATTTAAAATTTATCTTATGATAATATTTTTTTTAATTTTTAAGAAGGACAAGTTTAACTTTTATTATTGTATTTTAATTTTAATTATATATATGTAATTGCACAGACGGCGCCAATGTAATTGCACTAAATTAGAAGTCTTTCTCAGTTTGCATCTTCACTCCGGATAAACCTGCAAAGCCCCGAAGTGGGTTATCGGGGTAAATACTCTGATACTTAAGTCAGTAATAATTGAATCTACCTTTTTAGAATAATGAAAAATGAGTTTTAGGTTAGTTTTAATTACCTTTCTGAGGAGATTCTTGAGGGGTATTTATAGGTTTTAACGAGATGTCCACCTGACTTGCTTAACAAGATAATCAAAGTGTGACGTGTCACTTCAGGTGATAATTTCGAGATAGAGAAATTATGTAAATTAGATGTGGGCATGTTCACTATATTTATCATGTAGCCATTTAACTGGGAAATACTAGATTTAACTTCATTTTGATTATTAAAGAACTATAGCAGTACGTCTGAAATTAAGGACCTCAGACCTATTATTACAATATCTTATCATGATTTAAGTCTCATTATTTTTTTAAAAGAAAATACAAGTAAAAAATAAAAATTATTTTCAAATATTTAATTTAAACATAAAAACAAAATACATTTATTATCTTAAAACGGACGGAAGGAGTAGGAAATTTGTAAAGCTATCATTTGGACACCTCATTAAATATTAATAAATAATTTTCTTTTAATTCGTGCATATTCAACACAAGTTGAAAAATCCATAAGAAATTATCTTTTTATAAAAAAATTACATTATAAATTTAGTTACTGTTAAGCATTAATTCTTTATTTCACCAATAGTTTGTTGATCCAAGTAAAAGAAATTTGGTTTTTCTTTTAAATAAAATTTCGAAATCGAATTTTGTAAATGAAAGAACAAACGCTGTTAGAGTTTTTTTCTTAATAAGATTTGATTTGATGTAATTGATTTCGAATTAATCGAAATCCAATATGACTACTAGATAGCAAGAGGTTAGTACGAAAATTAAACCTTTACTTCACCGTCACATACTTTTCTTATGGTGAATATTGAAAAAGACCACCGATCGCCAACAATCCCTCACGGCTATACTCGGGGAAGCTTCACCCTGACCTTAGAAGCTGTTTTCCATGTGAATTCAGATCCATGGAGGACTCGTCAAAGGACGTCGGTGGTCTCCTTCACTTTTATACAAAATCACATAAAATGATAACGAAAAAATGTTTTACAGTCGGAACAATCTAAATTGTTAAACAATGTACCCCTAATGATAATCAAGTGGTAACTTTCATTTTAAAATAGATAAACAAGTTATAAAAAAAGTAATGTGCAGTCCACTGCACTTATTATTATTGATGAGGGGTGGACCCCTGACATTGGACTGGTCTCCCTCCATCAATTGCTACGAAATATGCAGTCCGCCCTGCTAATATCAATTACATATTACAATTAATATACTATAAACTTGTGTATGGTTAAACTAAACATTCATAGAACGAAACTCAAATCTAAAACTCAAGATTTCGAGGCTGATTAGAGTAATTGAATTGCCCTTTCTTTCCTTTATTCAGATAACATACATATATTACTCAGAAATGGGGGCACTTACACAGCATAAATCTCACGCAATACCCCAATAACGCGGTTTGCTACATCAGGTCCAAACAACCGTGGAAGACTCTTCTCTAGATCAATCTCAATGGTCCTTTTCTTTATCAACTCATCCCTCTTTTCCAAGTATGTTCTTTCTTCCTCTCCCACAGTCCTCTCTCCACAAGCACATTGATCCAACCATATCCTCAATGCTTCTTTTGCAGCAGAAGAGATATGGTCTTTTATAATCTCCTCAATCCGTCCTGCTCCAGCTGCATCCGTGTCAATCTTGATCACTATTGCTGTTGGTGAGATGACACAACGAATGAAGAGTTGTGGAGAGAAGTATAGTTGAACTTCTGGGAGTTTAAAAAGTGTTTGCCTTAGTGAGTCCAACCGGGTATCTTCATAGAAAGTCTTCAGGTATTCTGAATGAAGGATGAGGTCCTTTCGAGGAGGCAAATCAAGAATGAGGACTAGGGATGTCGGACTACTGCGGATTAGTTCTATTAGGAAGTTTGGGGCATCTGTGGAGGCTTTCAGATAGGCTGAAATGCTTGTAATGTTCAGTGCTCCTCCTGTTGGCAGGTTACAGTGTAACCAACTTCCCAATATGAAATCAACCTGACACACAGAATAGTTGAGAGATGATAACAAAACATAAGAAGATTTATCAAGCTTAATTCAAATCCAAATTAAAGGTCAAAATGCAGCAAAAATAACTTTGACAACAACACCAGTTTCCTCCCTCAGCTGACATCCCGTGCTATAGGATTTATTAACATTTTTCATTTCTTGTTTCCTGTAATTCATATGCTTACATTTGCTGCCATGTTACTCAAAACCAAATGCAAATTAATTAGAAAGGAACAATTAATTGTAGGACTAATGGTTAATTTGTTGAAAGTATATCAGCAATAAACATCAAAATAGTGATTTGGTGGTGTCCACATGGTAGTGCTGCAGTCCTTCCCCCAGTAGTCTAGAAGAACTATTCGTTATGAAATTTTCTACCGAGCAAGAACTTCCAAGTCATATGTTACAACAACATCCTAACAAAGAACATTACCATCCGAGTAGAAACAACAAATGAATTTTGTTTGGTGCCAGACTTCAAAGCTGTTAGCTCGAGCACACAAATTTGGACTAACTAAATTTGCACGCCTGAACCTACAAGAACGTTTGCTATGTCACGTGGATACATCAACATATGATGCACTATCCACATTAATTAGAAAAAGACCACCTCAAACATCCATAAGAGGTTCCACTACTCGGCTAGACACTTTTCTAGAGGTTTAAAATTTCATCACCAAAAAGATAAAACAAAAAAACAAAAAAAAAATTCATCACCAAACACCTGTATTTGATATGTCAGCTTTTTATTGGCTAGAAAACTGGGGTGAACATGGGATACCACGTTACAGGTATCACCTGATCCAGCAGAAATTTTCTGAAAACAAGCGTTTTTTTTTTCAAGTACTGAACATATAGTGGAAGCGCAGATAAGGCATGCCTCATGCTTGCACTGAAAATTTTCAAAACGGTTATGTTCACAATTAAACCGTTCCCAATATTATCCTACGAAATAATAGCCCATGATGGGTCTTCCCATTTTCTGGAATTATAATATTCGTCATAGACAGGAGAAAATCAGCTTCCAGAAACTTCCCTGATTTACAAATTCTAATTGACATGGAAATTCTACCACTTAGACTAAGAAAATAGAAAAACAAGCAGAGATTAAATGAAAGTAAATGGAAATTATACCTTGGAGGAGCTAAGGCCAGATCTTGAGTGAAGTGTGCCTTGGGCGGTGCCACTCTGGTTGTGGTAGTATTTTACATCAGGAGGGAGGGTATCGGGACCAAGCTGGGAGTCAAGGCGAGTCTCGATCATGGATACGAGATCGACCATCAAATCCCTATGCGGCGCGGAGACGAAAGGGAATTCCATGAATTTCTGGGAGTGGTCCATGGGAGATGATGCGTGTGAAGAGGATGATGATACAGAGAATGCTCTGGTTCGAGGTCTAGAAGATGGTAAAGGGATTGAACACAGAGGCGAAAGTGAAGGGAGAGAATGAGGAGCAGGAAGAAGCAAAGGCACACAGTGATGGAAGTGGCGGAAGACAACAGCGGCCATTGGCTCAGAGAGGCGGGCCGTCCAGCGTCTGATATTTTTATGGTCGTGGGGTAGTGGTTACAAGAACGACGACGTTTAATTACTTAAACTAAAAATAAAAATTTCCGTTGCCGGGAATCGAACCCGGGTCTTTCGGGTGAGAGCCGAATATCCTAACCGACTAGACTACAACGGATTGTTGACTAATTCTCTCTCCGTAATAATATATAAATAAATATAAATAGATAATATTCCTTTATGCTGATTAGAGTGACATATAATATTCCTTACCTTTAAAGTCCATTAACTTATTCAAATACGAGCAAGAGGAAAAGGAAACCGATACGCAACCAAGTCATTTTCTTCTACATTCTTTAACAATTTTCAACGACTTTTGTTGCATTTATACTGGAACTAGATGAATGCGGTGTGAGGTGTGAACATATAATATGCTTTGACCACGCATAACATCATTGTAGTTGAGTAATGCAAGTTGAAGTATACATTTCTTTGGAATATAGGAACAATCACCCTTTGGAGACTGGCATTCATCCCTCTTGTCAATGCAGAGACAAAAGATATTATATTTTTCTACCACTAATCACATACTTCACCAAAAATAACTTTGTATGGACTTAGACTAGAAACTTGTCTTCTTCTTCTTCTTCTTTTTAAGTGATTAAAGTATCTCTAATAAGAGTTGCAAAATAAATAAAAAACGTGTAGATTTAAATCAATTTAATTCTATAATTAATGAACTAAATATGAAGATTTCTTAATAGAGATAAACGTTTGAGAATATTGTATTAATTAAAGCCTTGAAGCAATAACCATATTACATTTTCTGAGATGATTAAACAATAACAACATTTTACATATCCTATTAATAGGACATGTCACATACAAATATTTCATAATAACACACTAAAATGAAGTCTAGATGGGAAAGAAAGCCAGAAAGATTTTTTTGTCTCAGCATCTAATGAATTCTCTCACACCCACCTAAACAAGAAAAATAAAATGACATCCATCTTAATCCTTATTATCAGAACTAATTATATGAGTAATTTTTGTTCCTAACCAATTACAAATCAAACCATTATACAAATCTACTGAGAGGGGCCGCAGCAGACTTATCTTGCGTTCCCCCTTTATCAAGCGCCGATTGTGGTTAGTTACACACCTTGCTGCTCTTCATTAACGGAGCATGATGAAAATCCACGGTCTTCATCTCCTTGGCATGGGGACCACCGAAAACAGTTTCCTCACGGCGTCTCTTTTTCTCCTTTCCTTTCAGCCAAACCCCGAACAGTTTCAAACTTCCACCATCTTCTCCGCCGCCTTTTTCGTCGTCATCGTGATCATCATCATCGTCATCATCTTCGCCACTGCAACCAAGATCATCAACATCATGGGTGGAACCACAGCTGCCTTGACGCATGATGCGATTGATCTGATCAGGCCCGACCTTCACATAGTCCGTTAAGAACGCGATCAGCTCCTCGCACTTCTTTTTTGCCTGTGCGAGTTCCGAGCTCAGCACCTCGTTGTCCTTCTTCAGCTTCTCGTTCTCACCTGATAAGTCAGCAAACTGAGTCGGGGTTGCCGTCTCAACCGATCCGGGGTTCTTCGAGTCCGGCGAGGAGGTAGAGGATGACCCGAGTTCTTCGCCGGAGTTTGAAGGCGAGGAAGGTCCGGCACCAGCATTTTTTCCAGCCGCAGTAGTTGGAGATGAACTAGCCGTCTTCCGACGACGTATCTCTGAGAGAAGCTCCTTCTGCCCTCGCCGGAAATTCTCGTTCATGAATTCCCATTTATCCGGCACAACCTTCCGAAACCCCTACAATAAATTAAGAACGTTCTAGAACTATCAATAATCAACGACCAGAAACAAACAATCACTCTAATCAAACATGGAATCTTGGCCGTAGAAAAACACAATCGTCGGAATTCTAGAAGTATACTAAATTGGTGCGAGCTGTTTTGACGCAGAGTTCTAGATTCGTTCTGGGAACACCTACTACAGTGGCTGGAAAAGGAAAAGACAGTTATGGCCCTTCACCTAATATTGGTTGGTATAAAAGGGGTAAAATCGTCTTCTTGGTAGTTGGCTTGGATCGTCGAAATATGAGTCCAAAATTAGCTCACCAACCGATTTGAGATTTTAAAAATATTAAATACTAAAAAAATAATTAAATTCCCTTTTCTTGCAGTATTCTCCAGATGTGAAATCCCAAGATTCTTAAATAATTTAATAATAATAATAATAAAGAGAAATGAAGGGAAAATTTATGATAAAATGAACTTACATAGGTATTCAGCTGCCGAACGAAGCTGGAGAAATTATTGTGCTTGAAACAATTAGGCAGCAAATCCTTTGCAAAATCAGCGGTTTTCCAGACGACGAAGGAGGTGCCGTTTTCATTCCACGAAATCACATCGTCGGTGATCGGATCATCCACCAGCTGATACGTCTTGGTCAGAAACGGCGCCGGAACAGACCTTTGCGCCATGGATCGATCACCAAAACTCCGTCAACGAGATCAAATTCTCAAAAAAGGAAAAAAAATTACAAAATCTAACAGGAGAATCACAATAATCAGATGAAAGGAAAAAATAAGCAGAAAAAAAAAAAGAAAATGAAATCGGCGATTTCAAACGGAACAACTAAAGAGAAGGAGAGCAGTCAAGAACTCCCAGTCCCAGCAGTAGAATCCAGAAAAGAAAAAAAGCCTAGATGGAACTAGATTGTTGCCCGTATCAACTTCCATGGGATTACCAAAGCAAGCTCTCTGGTATTTGGAGTTGTAACAAGACCATAACTTCCCTGAAGAACACAAAAATGAAATATTTTCCTTTTGTGAATTCTTGTACGAGAACTTCTTATAAAAGGGGGAAGAATAGAAGATGGGGTCAGAGAATGTGACGTTGTTTCTAGAAAATTTGAGAAACGCTTAAATGCAAATTAAATTAATTTTAATTTACTCCCACTTGAGTTGGTCTTTCAAAGGGCAAAAGCGATGACACGCATTTCACAAATAAAAAGAGACAACACGTTTCTTTTTTTCCAAACTTCCTTTGCAAAATTGAAGGGCATTTTTTTTTTTCAATGATTTAGGGAATTAAGTTTGTCTTCCCTCCAATTTCATTCCCTTGGACTATAAATTACACTTGACATGTTCAAACAAAATATACCAATGAGTTTTCTTAGAAAAGATTAAGAAAAAAGTATTATTTGTCTAACAGTATGAAGTATTTGATTTAAATTATTCTCTTAGTTTAATTTTAATAAATTTGTTTTTTATTTCAAAATTTTAGACTTTTTTTTAAATTAAAGAATTAGGGATAATAATTATTCTTACCTATAATGCTCTTACAAAATAAGTAAAAAATAAAGATAGATTTTTTATAATTAGATAATGAATTAAAATAAATGGATAATTACAAAGTTAAAATAAGAAAAAAAATAATTATTTACTTTAAAAAATTAAAATTAAAAATTAATTTAAAATAAAATTTAAAGTCAATGGCTGAGTAATTTTCAACTTGAAAGGTTCAAATTGAAT